TCATTTCTGGTCCTGACTCATTCTTGGACCAGACCTTTTGGGACTGAATTGTTTTAAGGTCCAGTTGGTTTGACTGTTAGGTTAGCTTTATGTTCGTACCATTGCCATACATCTGCATCTGGGCAGCCAGGGCAGCGTCCACCTGCAGGAAGGCTTTAGATAATACCACCTCCAAATCCCACTCTTCCTCCAGACCATCTCTATAATACAAACGCAGGCAACAGCATGATATACCATCACCATATATAGACTCTGTGTATATGTATGCACATACAGTAGAGCTTGAAATGTTTGTCTCAACCCAATCAGACTTGTCTATTCATGCTGGGTTTGCTGAAAGCAGAATTTTGTCAGGCTGCAATCAAGTTCAGACAGAATTTCATCAGCTACAGTTGCATTTGGACAAAATCTTGCTCTGGGTACAGTCTGATTCAGATTGTAAACTTGGTCCTGTTGTCGGGTCCACTCAGATTTAGATTGTAAACTTGGTCCTGTTGTTGAGTATAGTCTGATTCAGATTGTAAACTTGGTGCTGTGGTTAAGTACAGTTTGATTCAGATTGTAAACTTGGTCCTGTGGTTAAGTACAGTCTGATTCAGATTGTAAACTTGGTCCTGTTGTTGAGTATAGTCTGATTCAGATTGTAAACTTGGTCCTGTTGTTGGGTACAGTCTGATTCAGATTGTAAACTTGGTCTTGTGGTTGAGTACAGTCAGATTCTTACTCTAATCCTGGTCGTGATGTTGAGTACAGTCAGATTCAAACTCTAATCCTGGTCCTGATGTTGAGTACAGTCAGATTCAAACTCTAATCCTGGTCCTGATGTTGAGTACAGTCAGATTCAAACTCTAATCCTGGTCCTGATGTTGGGTACAGTCAGATTCATACTCTAATCCTGGTCCTGATGTTCAGTACAGTCAGATTCTTACTCTAATCCTGGTCCTGATGTTCAGTACAGTCAGATTCATACTCTAATCCTGGTCCTGATGTTGGGTACAGTCAGATTCTTACTCTAATCCTGGTCCTGATGTTGGGTACAGTCAGATTCTTACTCTAATCCTGGTCCTGATGTTCAGTACAGTCAGATTCTTACTCTAATCCTGGTCCTGATGTTGGGTACAGTCAGATTCTTACTCTAATCCTGGTCCTGATGTTCAGTACAGTCAGATTCTTACTCTAATCCTGGTCCTGATGTTCAGTACAGTCAGATGCAAATTGTAGATGTGACTCTGTGGGATGTGGTTGGACGTGGGTAGAGTGTTCTTGGTCTGTATTTAAGATCTAAACTCAAGACCAGATCTACTTCATATCAGATCTAGTGTATAGACCAGTGAGTGTGTACCTGATGTAGCGCTCCATGTGTACGGAGCAGAAATCTGCAGCCTGTGCTCCGCCGTGCCCATCGAACAAGGCGAAGAAGAGTACGTTTGGTGTGAGTTCGGTCACTCTGAGCCGGTCCTCGTTGTTTCGTCGCTGTCCGATGTGTGATGAGCAGCCCACCGTGCTGAGGCTGAGCTGGGGGATGGGCGTGCCATAGCGGATACTGGGGGGCAGCAGGATTGGAGCCTCAATACGGTTATCCCAAATACCAAATGAGTCCCATGTGGCCGGACGCCCACTGCCATCAACGTCCAAACGAGAAGCAGCATACTGGCGGACCGCCGACGCACTCTCACACACACACCAGCCCCCACGCACACTCGCATGGCGAGCGGCCAAGGAGAGAGAGCATTGGAGCAGGCGAGAGAGAGAGAGGGCAGAGAGAGACATCGCGATAGATAGATAGATAGATAGATAGATAGACAGATAGATAGATAGATAGATAGATAGATAGATAGATAGATATGAATTGATTGATTTATTGATTGATTAATTGATTGGTTGATTAATCAATAGAAAGATAGACAGGTAGATAAATTGTGTTTATTGATTAACTAATTGATTAATTAGTTGGTCAATTGGTTGGTCAATGAACTGGATGGTAGATTAACTGATTGGATTAATTGGACTGGTTGGATAGATAGATAGATAGATAGATAGATAGATAGATAGATAGATAGATAGATATGAATTGATTGATTTATTGATTGATTAACTGAGACAGATAGACAGGTAGATAAATTGTGTTTATTGATTAATTAATTGATTAATTAGTCGGTCAACTGGTTGGTAGATTAACTGATTGGATGAATTGGATTGATTGGATAGATAGATAGATAGATAGATAGATAGATAGATAGATAGATAGACAGTCACACAAGCTGCTTTTCAGAGGGATCTGTTCTTCTTCAGCTGCTTCAGCTGAGCCCTATGAAAAGAAGAAACAGCCAGTTTACATCACACTGATTTAAAGATTACTAATCAATCATTAATCTTAAGCACTACTTAGTACCTACTATGTAAGCAGATCCACATACAGACACTTAGAGTTGAAGGGGTTAATGAACTTGTGAAATCTGTGTCTGTGTCTTGTCACTGATCCTCTCTGGCTCCTGTGGTC